ATACCTTAATCAATAAAGAAAAAAAAGAAAAAAATAGAAAAAATAAAATAAATAAATAAAAGAGGAAGCCTTAAACTTCAAGAAGGGAAAGGAGAAAGAAAGAAAGAAAGAAAGAAAGAAAGAAAGAAAGAAAGAAAGAAAGAAAGAAAGAAAGAAAGAAAGAAAGAAAGAAAGAAAGAAAGAAAGAAAATGGAGCCAAACCACAAAACCCAAATTGTAAGCCTCTGTTAAAATATATAATTGGCTTAACAATATGACATTTCAGGGGGTTTTCGATATGTATTTTTTTAAATAAAAAATAGGCAAAAAAAATACAGCTTTTATTCATTCTACTTAAATATTTGTCTGAAGCATTGTAAGATAATATGCTATTTTTCAGATATTTGGTGATATCAGTGGATCAAAGTTTATCACCAATGAAGTGGTCATAGGTATTCAGGAGCATATACATGAAATAGACAGTACACTGGAAGACTCCTTGGATGTTTAAACAAAAGATATGAGAAGAATCCATTAAAATTAAAGGTATTTTCTGCTCACTGATTTCTGTATGTATTAGAAATCATTATTATCTTAAATATGTTTTTAGACAACATAAAATCCTTCTAATTTTTGATAACTTAGAAAGAGTTGCTTGGCTACTGTGGAATTTGAATAGGGATAGGATGCCATTTTTCACATTATTTTTATAGTAGTACTCTTTTATTCAGAAGGAATAAGGAGAATGGCCAGAAGATCATATGACCAAATCTAAATAAATCCCTTCTCCATTTATCTGGAAATTTTCACTTTTTTTTCCCCTTCAAGAAAAAATATGAAAAAGTTATATAATAAGGATATGAAGTTACTTAAATGAGTTGTTAAGCAAAGCAGATATTTTACATTCTAAGAAAACAAAACCTAACCCCAAACTGACTGACTTAGACTCCTTGCATCCACCTCAACTTTTTCTAAAGGGATCAAAGTAGCTCATCTGCCTTTTTCTTATGTTATCCATTTTTCTCTTTCCTCCCTAGCTTTCCTCCCTTCCGGCTGAAGATTTAGAGTGGGATTTATGACCACAAATGGACAATGAACCTCAGAGTGTTGATGGGTCATGATAAATCCTGAATCATTAAGAATGTTTTGTCCTCATTACAGAGCAAAACAAACAGTGGATATCTAGGGCCCTGATTTTCTTCTGTGCAGCCATTTCCCTCAAACAGAAAGCAATGCTTATTACAGGGGTCAAAATTATACCTATAATTAGGAAACATAGGGATACATTTGATCCTGGTGATTTTTCAATCCCCAGATTTAATCATTGTCTAAGTATTGTATCTTCAGTCTAACATAAGACACATTAAGAATTACACTAAGTGTTCCCTCTATTGGCATAATTTAGTATATGTATACATGTCTTTATTTTTCATCCTCTATGGCTATTACTGAAGGCAGATTAACATACATTAGTATCCCTGTCAACAAATCTCAACTTTACAGAAACTCATAAATATTCTAACATGTTTTAGGAGCTTTAATTATTGAGACTACAACACCTCACGTAACTAAACTTTTTCTTTGGGTCTTCATTTGAGTGTCACTGACTTCTTTCTGTTCACACCTCCAGTTTTGCAACTATTATTACTCATAACTGATCCCTAGGTACTTAGCTTCACTTTTACTCAGTAGATGTGTATTTTAGTCCATGGCTTTATCTTCCCATTAGACCATGTGTTTCCTGTGCATGGTTTTGTTTGTTTGTTTGTACTTCCCTCACTGAAATTTAAGATCTATAAGGGCAGGAATTTTTGTCTATTTTCTTTACTGCTCCTCTCCCTCATCCTTTAACACTATACTTTGAACTAGTAAATGCTCAATAATTTTTTGTTGAATTAAACAATAAACTTATACTTCACATTTACTTAACTTTATATTTAATGTGCTATAAGATAGTGAATTGAATGAACAACATAGAGATAACCAATCAATTGATACTTTTCTTTTTTGTGTGTTTTTCCTTTAGGAATTAGTGCCTCCAGTGGAAGGATGGGTACAATTAAGAAAAGCAGTATTTTCTGGCCCCTGAAAGATGCCCATGACTACAATATATTTTCTAATCCAAGGAATCTCCTATTACATTGCTGCACAGCACGAGTTGTTCAGAATTTTAAAATGCAAGTCTATATAATTTTTTGTTGCTCTTGCTGTATTATATTTATTTTCCTTGCTATTGAATATAATAGATTCAACATATGCATTAGTCTCACACTTTCAAAATATCAGATGTGTGTGTGTGCGTGTGTGTGTGTGTGTGTGTATGTATGTGTGTGGGGGGGGGGTGAGTAGAGATTTACTAACATGCTTTCCAAGAATTAACTTTTCTTATTGAAAAGGAACACTCAAATGTTCATGGGCTCAGTGTCACAATTCACTCCAATGTTGAAATAAGATCTTGGCATTGTCTTACCTTTGAAGTAAACACTCTATTTGCATTGGTATTAAAATAACTTATCTAATTTAGATGTTTGGATGTACATGTATGATTAGTTTCTTAATAGGAAAATAAATAAATAAAATAAGGAACTTTGTATTTTTTTAATAACCCAGTATTTTAAAAATTTGATTACATTTACAGATAATTGGTTTTGCATCTATATTTTTATATTGTTTATTATTACGTGACATTGGTTAATAAAATTATGTAGGTTCCAGGTACATAATTCTATAATATATCATCTTTATAATGTATTGTGTGTTCATCAGCCCAAATCACCTTCTGTCACCATTTATCCCCCATTTACCCTCTTCTACCTTCCCTCACCCACTTTCCCTCTGATAACCCCCATACTGTTGCCTGAGATTTGGAAGCAGTCCAAGTGCCTATCAGTAGATGAGTGGATAAAAAAGTTGTGGTACATTTACACAATGAAATACTACTCAGCCAAAAAAAGGAAATCTTACCTTTCATATTGGCATGGATAGACCTGAAGAGTATTATGCTAAGTGAAATAAAACTGTCAGACAAAGAAAAACATTGTATGACCCCACATATATGTGGAATCTCATGAACAAAACAAAATAATAAACAAAATAGAAACATATTCACAGATACAGAGAACAGACTGACAGCTGTCAAAGGGAATTGGGGTTGGTGGGCTGGGTACAAAATGTAAAGAGGTTAAGCATAAAAAAAATAATAACTTTTATTATGATCATTTCCTCTCATTATCTGTGGCCCTTCATGAACTGGAAATAATAATTCCATGGGTAAGGAGAGATGAGGAAGTTTTTAAAATAGATGATCTACAAAACAGAGCTCTAACATAGAGTTATCAGTATATCCCCTTAGAAGTATACACATATTTATATAAAGTGTTATTTCAAAATTCAAGACAGGTTTCTTGGAGTCTATATATATCTGTGAATTCAGTCATCAGTTTTACTCCATATATTGAGTATAATTTATAATGCTATTAATTGTTTCTTAAAGAATATAACTAGTAAAACAAGCTTTGCTTTATATAGCAGCTAGCAATTTACTTTTGACATTCATATCTATATTTTATTATACAGAAATAATACATAATACAAAATGGTTAATTGAAAACTATATCATAAAAGAATCTTTTCAGTAGATCATTCTTATTAGTATGTACTGTGCTCTTATTGCCTAAATATATTATCCATTTGAAATTAAATTTTGCTAAGGAATAAAAATATAAATAAAAAGGAATTAAAATTTTAAATGTTTTCCATACATCTAAAAGTGATATCTGTTAAATGTTCTTTGTATTAAACTCAGTGACAATACATAGATCATACTCAGTGTCAGTTGAGCAAGTGGATGAAAAATGAGTGATTTTCATCCGTTAGTTAAGTATGATGCTAAGTGGTATGCACTAGCATTAAAAGCAAATTACTTATCACTTCAACAACCACAGCATGAGAGCATTCTATTGAAAGCTGTATATTCAGTCTTTCTTGGTCCTTAGTTTCATTAAATAAATCAACTGATAATGGTTGGATAAGCAAAGGAAAAATCCTTGATGGCATTATAGCATTTCCATTTAAAAAGTGCTTATTCAAGATGTCTTCAAATTGGTTTATTCTAATCACTAAGTATTCACACATGTGCACATGCACAAACCACACACACACGCACACACACATTTAACATATAAAAAAAGTAAAAAGAGAAAGTCTTTGATTAATGTACATGCCAAAGCAATGTACAGCAGGCACTACCCAAGTTGTTCATGAACTATTAGCTAGAAAAACTCATCACAATTATTAGTTGAGAATACTAGTAAAATGCTAATGAGGCAGACATCCTTCCAGATGAAGCTGGGCTGCAAGGGAAATCTGTCCCCGGATGCCAGAAGGAAGCTGGTGTCAGCAGCCTGGGGAAGGAAGGCCTACTCTTGCTTGAATTTCATGCATCAGGCCTCTACTGTGGTGTGTGTGTGTATGTGTGTGTGTGTGTGTGTGTGTGTGTGTGTATACTAGAGGCCCAGTGCATGAAATTAGTGTATGAGGGCTGGGGGGTGTCCTTCAGCTCACCCTGCATCCTCTCCAATCCGGGACCCCTCAAGGGATGTCTGACTGGCCATTTAGTACCAATAAATGGCCAGTTGGACATCCCTCTCACAATACAGGACTGCCGGCTCCCAACTTCTTGCCTGCCTGCCTTCCTGATTGCTTCTAACTGCTTCTGCCTGCCAGCCTGATCATCCCCTAACCACTCCCATGCCAGCCTGATTAATGTCTAACTGCCTGTTTGCCCCCAACTTCCCTCTTCTGCCAGCCTGGTCACCCCTAACTACCCTCCCTAGCAGGCCTGGTGCCTCCCAACTGCCCTCCCCTGCTTGCCTGATCACCCACAAGTGCCCTACCCTTGCAGTCCTGGTCTCTCCCAACTGCCCACCTCTGCTGGCCATCTTGTGGTGGCCATCTTGTATTCACCTGGGGGCAGGATCTTTGACCACCTGGGGCAGCCATATTATGTGTTGGAGTGATGGTCAATCTGCATATTACTCTTTTATTAGATAGGATAGCGGCCTGCTGCATGGTTGGTGGCCAACTGGTTTGTCCTGAAGTATGTCCCAGATCAGGGTGGTGTTCCCTTAAGACATAGGGCTGCCTGAGCTAGGACCTGTCATGGTTTGCAGTCCAGCCATGCCCCTGGGGAATCAAGCAGAGGCCCTGGTATCTGGAATTTATTTACTTTCTATAATTGAAACTTTGTAGCCTAGAGTGGAGATCTGGGCTGGCCAGGCTGTGCAGAAAGCTTTGGTTCTCCCATTGCAGGGGGAAACCCTAGCCTCCTGCTCTCTCCAGCTGGGTGACTGCAGCCATTTCTGTTTGGATTTGTTTACCTTCTATAATTGAAACTTTGTAGCCTTGAGTGGAGACTTAGGCCAGCTAGGGCATATGGAAAGCTTGGCGTCTTCCATTGCCTGGGAAACCCAAGCCTCCCTCCTGCTCTCTGTGGCTGTAGCCATCTTGGTTGGGTTTATTTGTATACTTGCTCTGATTGGCTGGTGGGCATGACTAGTGGGCATGGCTTGTGGGTGTAGCAGAGTGATAGTAAATTTGCATATTCTCTTTTATTAGAATAATAATAAAACATGAGCGTGAGGCAGTCCATGTTTCTGAAATTCAATGACATGAATTTTAGCTATTACTTCGCCAAATAAATGGAACTTAGATATATCACTTAAAAGAGTATTCAGCTTAATATTAAAAACTCTGGCTACCAAGTCAGGTCTGTTTTTAACTTTTTTGCCAGCATTGAAAATTGTTTGTAATATCTGCCCATTTGGTGTTGCATGTTATTATTCTGAATTAATAGGGATTTCCATGCTTTGTTACAATTGCCATAGCATCCTCATTTCGCTGCTGCATATTTCTGGGACTACCCTCAAAAGATGATGGAAGTATTATTATTTTACCAATCATCACATTGTCATTTTCAGATACAGATTTGAGATAATGCATCAAACCACTATATTTTTCAACTCTCAACTCTCATCTTAGATTGGTTTGCTTTAATGAAATTTATCCAATTGGCCTCTATTTTTAAATATGAATCTACAATAAACTGTTGAGTTAACTTTCCTGCATTTAAAATAGGATTGAACATGTCCCACACAAAGAGATGAAATCCACAATAGTGCATTTGTGTGACTAATGTCCTTACATTTTGTCTAGTATCATTGTTGATTACACTGCCAACTCTGAGTCTTAATGCAATATCTGTTCCCTAGCCTTTTTCCCCATGTGGAAAAAGAATAGGATGTGTCATTGCATGTAATGTAGGAAATAGGATACTGATTTGTTTCATTTTAGTGGCATTAAGATTATTGGAATCTGATTTACAATGAATGAGCAAGTCCCTTTCAAAAGGAGGTTCATCATCTTTATTTCTGAATATGACAGCAACCTAGGTTACACAGGGAGAATTATATCTACCTGGATCACTGTTACAATCATATTTAATTTCCATAGTTACCTCTGTGGGAGCTAGACCTTTTGCTGCTGCTTCAGATTGGGCTTCCTTTTCTACCTCATGTAGCATCTTGTATGATATTGTTAATTCACTTATTTCATGCATGAGGTTATTGATGTTGATCATGAGTCTTTCTGAGCAGCCCTGGTTTTCTGGCATTGCTAATCATTTACCGGTAGCTTTGGCTGTATCCAAAATATAGAGTTGAGCAAACTTCCAAGGAACACCATCCAAAGGATGTAAAGTTCCAGTACAGTGATAAACTTGTCTGTGTATTCTAAAATATGGCCCATACCCTGATGGCAATGCAATATTTGCACCGATGGAAGCAAAAACAAAAGAGCTATTTATGGAATTAATATTTTCCATGAAATTTTTACTGTCAGAATCTTTGTTATTAATTTTTTTAAATATGCTGGGTATTCTGGAAAAGGAATATCATTTGGACAGACTTTACCTTTGCTACAATATCAGGTAAATTTCCCATCAGATAGTTTTTCATCAGAGAAATTTAGTGATAGGCAAAATTGACATCTAATAGTCATTCCACCACAACTGTGAAAATATGTAATATTTCTTGTCACAAAAAATACCAAGCTTGCAAAGTTGTTTAGTTTGCTTTAATATATATTTTGCAAAATAATTTTAAATTTTATGTAATTTAATCTGTAATGTTGTTTCTATGTTTTCTTAACATTTATTATTTAATACTATAAAAGTTGTTATATTTTTAAATGTCCCTTTTATTATGTAACTAGAAGCCTGGTGCATAAAAATTCATGCACTGGAGTGGGGTTTTCTCAGCCTGTCCTGCCCCCTCTCACAGTCCTGTGGCCCTCAGGGGTGGGAGGTGACCCGGAAATCAGGAGAATGCCCCATCAGACCTCTGCTGCTGCCACTGCCAGCAGCACAAGCCTCAGATGGCCCTGGTTACCTGAGCTTTGGCCAGCCCTGGGCAGCTGGGCAGCTGCCATCTCAGGCTTGCCTGTGCCTCAGGCTGGCCATGGGTGGCTGGGTGCTGAGGAGACTGGGGGACTCTGAAGGCATGTGTGTGACATGCCTGCTGCCCCAGCAGGGCTGAGGAGACTGGGCACTGCCATCTTTGTGAGGGTTTGATGGTCAATTAGCATATTCCCTCTTTATTAGATAGGATAAACACTTATAGGTTGTGCATTTTTCCTAGAATGTGTTGTTGTTCTATTGACTTACTTTTTATTTTCATGCCAACATCAGGCTCCATTAATTAATATAGCTCAAAAATGAATCAAAGACAAACTATGATTAAATTGCATACTACTAAGAAAGATTTGCGGGCAAAAGGGGATAATGTGAATAAAGCACAATAATAAGAAAAATATTGGACCTAGATAATAGGTGTATGAGAGTTTTTTAGTACTACTTTTTCTAATTTTGAATATATCTGAACATTTTCATAATAATACATTAAGATGAGTGATGATGCACAAGAGGGAGAGGTGATACCAGCTAGTCTCTATATTAGGTGTGGATATAGCTCTACTCAGTTGAGAAATATATATAACCACAAAAGTAAATTTATTAAGTTCTGCACAGGGTATACAATGATTGTACAGAGATGAGGCCACAGTAGATATTCCTGTTCAAAAAGAGACATGGCAATCCCTGAGCCATATTGGAACCCCACAGAAAACTGAGAGTGTCTTTTTTCTTTGGTTTTAAGGACTAATTATCGATTAGTCTTCAATTCGGCTTCATGGAGTAAGTTCCCCAGTTTACTCTTCTCTATGACTCTTGGCTCTACCTTCTGGGAGCTCCTTCCTCTGAAATTCTCTTCTGTAGCTACATCTGAAGTGAGCTTCAGAGGATATGTCGTCAGGAGTCTGAGTAGCTGGTCAGACCTCTTCCTGATCCTTGAGGACTCGGGTTATTTTAAGTCTTAAACATCATGGTTACTTTTATTTAGGTTAGTGGCTCTTTTTGATAGCACAACTATCTCAAAAACCTTTGAGTTTTTAGTTTATTTGATTCCAGTCAGTTCCATGTTCTGATTGAACTTAGATTCTTTTTGAGACATGATTAATTGCAGGTGCCCTGAGCTTTTTAAGCACTGTGGGAAAGGTACATGGTTTTCCTGAACCATTTTCTGCTAAATTAACTGAGTACTATCATAACCTACCAGAGGTAGGGACCATGGGAGTGAAGGGCTTACCATTGATTTGATCCTTGCCAAAGGGCTTTCTTTGCCTTAAGACACTCTCTAGTTTATTTTATACTGGTAGGTGGGAAAAAAGCAGTTGCCTATTCCAGTTTTACAAATCTCCACATTTTTTTTTCACTCCCCTTTCATTTCTTTTTGCTAACCAGCAAATTATTTTTAAGCTCATCTCTTTGTAGTACTTGTCAAATGCAGCCAGTAGTATCTAACACATGCTACTAATATTCTGTTTTCCCCATCCTTTAAGATCCTAGGATATATAACCTCATTAGATATTTTTTTCAAGTGATTGCTGGCAACAATTGCTAGGTTTTTTTAAAAGTTATTTCTTGCACCTGCTATTGTATTTTACATTGAGTGGCTATATTATTATGACCACCCCATCAGTTCTTTGTTGGGCCACCTTTTGCCTTCAATACTGGGTTGATTCTTCTTGGCATTGACTCCAGAAGATGTTGAAAGGTGATGCAAGGAATCTGACACAATGCCTGATGAATAGCACTGTCCAGTTCTGTGAGATTTGATGGTTGTGGAACCAGCTGCCTGATGGCTCTTTTAACTTCAACTCATAAGTGCTCTACTGGATTGAGATCTGGTTATTGTGGGAGCCACTTAAGCAGATAAAGACTCCCTCCTGTTCTTGAAACCACTCCTGCACAATAGAGCACCATGGCATGGCACATTTTCTTGTTGGAAGAAGCCATCTCCATTGGGATATGCCATCAACATGATAAGATGAACTTGATTATCAACAATACTTAGGTATGTTGTGCTATTCAGATGTTGTTCCACATGAATTAAAGGGCCCAAATATGCCAGGAAAACATGCTCCAAACCATAACACTGCCCCCACCAGCTTGTACTCATGCATGTGGGGTGCTTGCTTTCATTCTGTTTCCGCAAAATTCTCACTCTGCCATCTGCATAATGCCACTGGAAATGTGATTCATCAGATCAAATGACTATTTTCCAATGCTGGACTATCAATCCTTGTGTTCCTGTGCAAATTGGAGACGTTATATCTTGGTAACTGCAGAAAAAGTGTTTGAACAAGCCTTCAGCTTCCATATCCCATATGATGCAGTTTATGGCTAATTTGCCTACAAAAGTCAGATGGTCATAATAATCTGGCCACTCAGTGTATAAAGCTTCCAGACCGACATTAAACATGTCCCTTCCACTTTTATGGTCCAAGTAAGTTACATGGTCACAGGTGGGAGTGCATAACTCTCCATTAGGTCAGCATAAAGGTGACCTCAAGTCACAATTCCCCAGTCATTACCTCTTCTGAGCTCAATTACACACACTCTTGCCTCTATTTGTTATGCTCTATCATCTTGAATTTTTTCTATTTCTCAAACATACCTGTTCTTTCAGCCTAAATTATCATTCCAGGCTTTCTGTTCAAGCTGATATCCACATTGTTACATTCTCTCAGTGGTCTATGTGGTTAACTCTTTTGCCTCTTGTCTTTGCTCAAATGGCACCTTCTCACTGAAGCTAATACTGACTCCTCTTTTTAAAAACTGAATCTCACAACCACACATTAGAGACTTCTCTAAATCTGATGAATTTTTTTTGTAGTTTCACATCCCTTATATTATTTCTTATGCAGGTCAATTTAACCCTTTTTATTTATCACTGCATTAGGCTTTTCCACTGGCACAGCAGCTGGAACAGCAACCCAAGAAGAGGCTTTTAAAAGCATATTTGCTCACCAAATATTCTCCCTAGAAAAATATCTGTATAGGTGAAGTAGAAGGAAGAAACAAACAAAAAAATTTAAAATCAAACAAACCATAAAACCCCAAATTCACTGAATAAATAATCCTGAAACAAATTCTTAGATATTGTGAATTAGGAGGGCATGGATATTTCCTGGAAATCTGTATTTTAAAAATGCATTGAATTTCAGGCACTGACTAATATATATATAATATGAATAATACTATAAATCAGGATAATTTCGTCAATGTTAACATAATACATTTTTCTTTGCTCATGATATACATATCAGAATATATAATGCCACAATACCTGATATTAAACTATACTACAAGGTTATTGTAATCAAAACAGCCTGGTACTAGGATAAGAACAGGCATATAGATCAATGGAACAGAATAGAGAGCGCAGAATTCAACCCATGCATTTATCGTCAATTAATATTTGGCAAAGAAGGCAAAAGCACACAATGGTGTAAAGACATGTACATGAAAATAAATTAATCTAGACTACTACAATATACCATATACAAGAATAAATTCAAAATGGATAACATACTTAAATGTAAGTTGCAAACTCATAAACATCCTAGATAAGGACATAGGCAATACAATCCCAGACATAACTCACAGCAATATTTTTGCAGCTGTGTCTCCTAGGACAAGAGAAAAAAAGAAAAAAATAAACAAATGGGACTACTAGTTCACTAAACTAAAAAAAAACTTCTGTGCAGTAAAAGAAACCATCAACAAAATGAAAAGGGAACTCACTGTATTAGAGAATATATTAAACCCTGCCCACCCCCCCTCCTTCACCCAAATCCATGATCGGCAAACTGTGGCTCCTGAGCCACATGTGGCTCTTTAGTCTCTTGATGTGACTCTTCCACAAAATACTACAGCCCGAGCCAGTCTATTTTGAAGAAGTGGTGTTAGAAGAAGTTTAAGTTTAAAAAATTTGGCTCTCAAAAGAAATTTCAATAGTCATACTGTTGATATTTGGCTCTGCTGACTAATGAGTTTGCTGACCACTGGCCCAGATCAAGGATGATGGGCCAGGTACAGAAACTAACCAGGGCAGAAAGCCCTGGATGCCGAGAAGGGGCAAAACAAGAATCTCGCCCCCAGGCTAACGTGTACTCCTCTAGCATATACTGATCAGGAAGTTTAGACCCCTTGACTTTTCCCTCCGTAAAGATATCTAGGCCTCAGTTGTATTTTAGTTCCTGGCCTAGAAAGGCAACGAAAACAGACAAGTGGCACCTTGGCTGCCTCAGGACCAACTACATTGACTAATGACTTCCTTGACTGGCACTGATCCATCAGTGGAGAACCAAACAAACCCTGAAAGAGCAAATCTGGAAATCTAATTAATACTCGACTAAGACCCTCCCCTGAGACTTCCCCTAAGATTTCCACCTGCAAGAAATATATAAATATGCTCAGGACAAAGGACTTGGTAATTACTCTTTCTCCTAGGGGCTCACCTGTGCCATTCCCACACATGCATGTATCTCCCAACCTCTAAGAGACCCCATTGAGACATGCAACCAGGGAGCAATGGGCAGCGGTAGCTCATCCTGGGTTAACCTCCTGAACTTGTCTCTAAGGCCCCCTTTTCTCTGACTTCTCAGTGAGCTAAAGCAGTCCAGATCCAATACCCTTTAGCTTAGTACTATGTAGCCCTTCCCTTTGAATGTCCCCAACTCTCAACCCCTTTTCTTTAAATTCAAAATTTTAAGCCGCTAAGATGGCCATATAGCCTGCCTGTGTGCCATTGACTTGAACCTTTCAGAACATATTCGCCAATGATACATTCCATAAGGGGTTAATTTCCAAAATACATAAGAACTTATACAACTCACCAACCAGTAAGAC